TCAGAGGAGCCTCCTCCCTTCCCTGCCAGGACCCAGCATCCTGCAGCCACTCTCGCTTCATGTGGACCCGGAAGCCCTCCCCAGCTCTGCAGCCATCCTCCAGCCCGGTGCCACCAGAGCCACCCTCTGCCTCACCCTCCCCGGCCTCGGCTGAGGGACTCTCTGGAAGGTGACTCCACGTGCCCCTGCCATCTTCCTCAGGATGCGATGCGCGCTCACGCCCAGGTCCAAGGCCCCTTGCGCTGCCCGCTGAGCCCCCTGGCTTCACCTCTTCCCTGCCCCCCCACCCATCACCGCAGCCCCTCTCCAGGATGCTCCCTCTGCCCGGGATGCGTCCCCTTCCTCTGCTCCTGCGGCCCCTTCTCGGTGAGGCCCTGTGTGACTCTCACCGTCTGGAGCCCTGTCATCACCCTCAGGACCGGAGGCTGCCCCAACCCCCTCCTCCCACTCRGGGAGGGTGACCCTGTGGGATCCCTGGGGCAGGCTGTGTCCACCTCCTTCACTTCATGTCCCCAGGCCTGGCTCTTAGAATTTGTGCAAAAACCAGTTATTTACATGCAGTGAGTTTGAAGCTCCTCAGTAGGTGAACTGGCCACATCTAACGAAACTCGGCCTCCCTTCGGCACACACTGCCCACTGTGAGGCCAGCCCCGAGGGAGGTGCCGGAGCTGCAAAGCCCTGGGTTTCTTCCTAGGAGTCGGCCTGTGGTCTCTTCACTCTCCAGCGCGTGAGAGTGGGGTGGGAGCAGCCACGGCTCAGCCTGCCTGTCTGTATGGTGGGCCACCAGCTCCTTAGCACAGACAGCACCAACTGCCCTGTCTCTGCTCCCCCTCRGGGCTCTACACCCTGGGCCCTCCAACATCCCAGCAGCAGGTGCAATCAGCCAACTCTTTAACCCCAACAGGAAGAAACAGGGACCTAAGTCCCGCCCATTCCCGAACACACAGCGACTAGCGGCCCCGGGCASCCCTGGAACATGAACAGCRTGGCCAGAGCACATCCAAAGGCAGACGGTGCTCTGAAGTGTCTTGGAGGATCTCGGCTTTCAGCCTTCTTGGGAGGCAGAGCCAGGCTCCAGCACACCGCCCAGAGAGGTGGCCAGCAGAAAGAGTCCAGRGAAAGAAGGAGCCACGTGGCAGAGGAACGGGGAGGTGACAGCCACGCAGGATGTGACCACACTGGACAGGGCCTCCAGYGGCCGTTCCCCATGCACCTCAGCACTCCTGCAGACCACCCCTGCCCATCACAGTGGCCCCACCCTGAGCACCTGCAGGCGGTCCCCAGTGCCACCCGGGCCCTGTCTAGCCAGCCTCGCCTCTGGCCTCACCCAGTCCTATGAGAAGTTTTATTAGACACGTTGTACAGACAGGGAAACAGGCAGCGCGGCCTAGCTGAGCCTGCCCAGGGTCTCTGGACCACAGTGGCCACAAGTGTGACAGGCCAGCTCTCCCCCCACTGCTCTGCAGGTCACTTGCCCACCCTGGAGGCATGGTGCCCAGTGGGCCTCTCTGGCTCCCATTTCTCAGAGGAGGAAACCGAGGTTCAGAGCAGCTCAAGGGCATGCCGCCTGGGGACACACAGCTCCAGTAACAACCGTCAGAGGGGGAGGGACCTTGCCATGGAGGGAACTGTCACCCCGAGGGCTGAGCAGGGAGAGCTCCTGGTGAGGAGGGGACTCACCTGTCCAGGACCCCCACAGGTGAGACACAGGAGGCAGGGCCCTGTGGACAGGGGCAAAAGGGAGAGGCAGGAGGGCAGCAAGCAGAGGCGCACCTGCCCATGTCTGTGGGGCCCAAGACTTTCCAGAAAAGACCGAGATCTGGCCCACACACCAGAAAACAGGACCCCGGCAGACACCAGATGCGCTGCCGTGCCTTGCTCTTGGACTTCCAGCTGTAACCGCCCAGTTACTCTGTCAGCAGCTGGAGTGGACGAGGACACCTGCAGCCCTGTCCCAGGCGAGAGTGTGCGGCAGGTGCCAGGGAGCTGTGCGTGTCGGGGGCCTCTGCCTCGGAGGCCACGCAGCCTTCACACACTGAGGCAAGGATTCCTGAAGGAAAGGAGAGCACCCGAGATTGAGGCGGAGCCACCAGGGCGTGGGTCCACCCAAAGGGATCTAGGCAGATGTCCAGAGCTCCTCACCACGCTCCCAGTTCAGTCCCCCAGGAACTGGGGACCACCAGAATACGTCCTCCTGATGTCCTGAGGTCCTCTACCTGGGGGAGGTGGAAGCCAGAGGTGCAGGCAGGCAGGCAGGATGGGCCCCAGGGACCTGGAAGTGACCGCTGGTGTCTCCTGAGGGCTCCCAAGCGCGACAGAGCAGACAACCCCCGCCTGCCACATCTGGGGGTCCGGAAGGGGGGAGCCCTCGCAGGAACAGCCCAAGGCCAGCACGCTCCAAGCCATCCCAACCTGCGCCAGGCTCCCGCGGTGGGAAGGGGCTCCACCACGTGGCAGCAGAGCGCCTACTCTAATTCAGTGTCCATGTCACCCAGAGTCCCGAGTTCCCGACCTTTCCAGAGATGCACACAGCAGCTCACTCGCCCTACACCTGCCCATTCCACCAGTCACCTGCACTCGCTGGGYGCCTGCTGTATGCCAGCACCGTGGCTGCGTTCAGCTCTGACAGTGAACACAGGGCCGGGGTGCTGGGGCTGAGGAGGCAGCTGGGCCTGCAGAGAGGCTTTCTTGGGTCCCAGAAATGTGGTAACAAAGGACCACAAAGGAAGGCCTTCCACAGCCCTCAGGCCAGAGGTCCCAAATCCAGGTGTGGGCAGGGTGGGCCCCTGAGGACACGTGGGAGAGACCCCAGGCCCCTCTCCCAGCTCCCGGGGCTGCCATTGCTCCTGCCTCCACTTCCATCTTCAGGTGTCCTCTCCACATGTCCTTCCCTGTCTCTATAGGGACTTCCACCCAGTGACACTGTTGATAAGGCCATGAGGTTCCCGGGGGGCCCGAGTCCAAGGGGACACCACCCAGCTCACTACTCAAGCCAACATGGCCGTGCTGTGGGAGGAGGCGTGGCACTACAGGGTTGGGGTAGGTCCCCCAGACGGGCAGCTTGAGCTGAGCACCAGGGTGCAAGGGTGCTGGTGGGGAGCTGGGGGGAACCACCCTGCACGAGGGTGACCAGTCCCCACTCAGCCCTTCCGCACCCAGTGACACATCCTCACACAGACTGACCCTTGGGGGTGAGTAACAGTGTGCTGGGTCACATAGCCACCCATTCACCGCCATGCCTGGTCCCAGCTCCAGAGTCCCCCATGCCACACACCCACTCTGGTTTGGGGTTCTGGAYTGAAGACTCAGTTGGTCTTAAATGCTTACTCCTCTGATCAGAGTAAGAGGGACAAGGGTCCAGGTAGAGGCACTCCCACAAAGGGCACCAGGGAGTGTGCGTCGTGGCCACCTGCTGAGCTCAAGCCCCAGTTCCCGGCCCAGCAGCTGATGGCCCAGGTCAACACATCATGGAGGAGGGGACTCGGTCACCTGTGCAGGCAGCTCTGTCCTGTGGCCACCAGTATGGGGCTGAGAACTGAGTTTGAGTCCCCAAGGGCCGTGGCTTGGGACAAGTTCCTRGAGCTTCCTGAACTTGGTTTTCTAAACTGCAAATCAGGGGCCTACGCCCCCTGCAGAGGGTGGCCTGTGGGTCCAGCGGGGCCCGGGGAAGAGTTCCCCTGGTGGATGGTCTCACGGGGCCRGGCCTGGCCTGCAGCTTGAGGATGAGCTCTTGAGAGCAACCACCTCTTGGAGACGGCCTGCTCCCCCCTGAGACCAGCAGCTCCAGGTTCCTGGCAGCAATGGGACAAGGGTGCCCAAGACGGAGAGGAGAYGGGTCACGTGGGGCCTCTGCCCAGCTCCACGCCCCTCTGACCACCACCCTTATGCCTGGCTCTGCCCTGCTGCACAGAGCTCCTGGCAAAGAGAGTCAGCAAAACGGAGACCAGGAGGGGGAGAGGGACAGGCGCTCAGAGAGAGGCAGAAACAGGCTGCTGCCTCTCCATGTCTGCAAGGAGCCCCTCTGACACCACAGAGAGGCTGCCCCCAYGGCCTGCAGGAGAAGTGT